GGGGGGAGCAGTGCTTCCTTCAGTTGAGCCCACCCAGTGGGCCCCAGAAGAGGAAAAGGGACCCCTGCATTTGCAGAGCAGGCCTTCTCCTTGGCCAGAGGAGGGAGGGGCTGCTTGGAGAGGCCCACCCATTGCTCTCCCCCACCCCCATGCCCGGACCCCCAGCCCTGGCCTCCTGCCTTGCATTGGCCTAATTATAGCCCAGGCGCTCAGCCGTTTTGGCCTGGGGACAGAGACCAGACCTCCGGGGTCTTCGGGGATCTCAGAGGCTCTTTGGAGGAGGGGGCTTCACTCAATTATTGGGGAGCTGCTGCTGCTGCTGCTGGATTTGTCCCCCCCCATGATTTTATCTAGCCACCCCTTTTGAATCTCGGCAACTTTAAAATGTGGGGAATTCTGGGATTTGAAGTCTCCCCCCCTCCTCCCCCTCCCGGTTGGGGAATTTCGGGAGTTAACCCTAACTTTAACAAAGGCAAAAGTGATTCCCTTAACGGCTGCGGCAAGAGAAGTCGTAAAACGGGACAAAACTCGCCGAAGAAACTTCTGACTTAGCAGCGTCAATGTTGGGCTTCCGCTGTGGTCGTAATCCGAGGACTCCCTGATATTGCTTCGGTCGCGGGACGAAACCCTGCCGGTTCATTTACAGAATGCAGAATAACGAGAGAGTTGGAAGGGACCCTGGAGGTCATCTAGTCCAACCCCCACCCCCCAAATATACCCATATACCACTTCAGGAACAGGTGGCTGTCCGGCTCTCTTCTCGAAAGTGGATGGAGGAAGCTTTTTGGGGAGAAGCCCCAGGAAAACGGGAAGAACGAACGACGGCCCCGCCACAACCGCCAATCGCGAGGAAGGAAGCTGCTACCGTCGCCGGTTCGGGCCTCGGTGCGCACGGCAGGAAACCCCACCACTGCTGCTCCCTGGTTTGTTTTTTTTGGAGGGGGGGGCCCCATGCGCATCGCACCGTCCTGCTGGGTGAGATGTCAAGGAAGGCGCTGCAGGGCGCCGAGAGGCCATCGGCTCCTCACCGCTGCCAGACGTCCACATCACTTCCTCTCTCGTACTCGGAGGCTGCCGTCTCTTCCTTTAACTGCCTTCCCCTCTACACACGCTTGTCAAAGCCCAGCTTGTTCTGGGCGGAGATCAGGGGGCAGCTGGGCAGCGCGACCCACCCCCCCTCCTTCGGTACCCGCCTGACATTCACGCCTAAAAATAGCCGGTCCATATCAGCTCAGCTGTCCTTTCGCTGGGCCTCGCCTTCTTTCCCTATCGCCTTTCGCTCGCTCTTTCTCTGGCCGAAGCCTGCCGGGACACCCGGTCTGCCTCTACCTCCCCAGACGCCTCTGGGCCTCGGCCCCCCCAGCGCTCGGTAAGGATTCCCGGTCTCCCCTGCCCTACCCCGGCAATCGGCGGTTTGGACACGATGGTCTGAAAAGCCGGAGCACGGAGTTTGGCAAACTTTTCTGGGCTGTGATTCCCTTTTTTGTTTTAACGGAAACTTTGACTTCTGCTCTGCTCTGCCCGGACTCTAGACCTCTGACGGGCACCTGTGCCCCTGGCACACCTTCCGTGCTGGCAGGGAGTGTGGTTTTCTGGGCGTGGGGTGGGGACAAAGAATAGACACGCTCACCTCTCCTCGTTGGTTCTCCTTTCTTCTCTTTGGTGGAAGAGAAAGCTTGTGGCCCCCGAAGTTGCCCTTGTGGCTGGAGGTTGGGGGGGTGTGATCCTGGGGTTCCTGTCTTGGTCGGGGCTCCCCTGTGATAGTTTGAGAGGGCACGGATCAGCCTCTGGCTTCCTCCTGGTTGTATCCCTCGGCTCCGGGTTTCAGCGTCTTTCCCGATCCATTCCTGGTTCTTTCGGATCTTGGAGAGAAAGGGATGGAAAGAGAGCCCAGTTAAACTGAGTCCGTCTGGCCTTTTTTGGCGTTGAAAGGCCATAGCCATGGGGCACGAGGTTGGACAGGACCGCCAGTGACTAAGCCTCCCTACAAAGCAGCTCCTTCGTGCCCGCCGGTTGGGAAAGTGAGGTAAGCAGGGTCCACCAGGGTTTGTGGCTCTCCTCACCTCCCTGCTTAGGACCTTAAGCAATGCCAGTGTTTGCCAGCCAATGGGGGCACCTGCGTCAGCCTCTCAGAATAACCTCTTTGCAAACACAGGAAGGGATCCGGTCGGTCAGAAAACACCCTGCCTCTCGGGGATTGAAGAGTCCAGTTTTGATCCGAAGGATCCCTGAGTTACCTACTCTCTTAAACAGTGGAGATCCTGCCAGGTTCCTTGGGCTGTTGGCCAGGCGGTGGAGAAACAGGGTGGCCAGAGCCCAGCAGGTGGATCCAGGAAGGCCAGCAAAAGAGCCTTAGGAAATGGGGAAGGTCTTGGACATAGCCCCCAGCTCTGTATAATAGTCTGGGAGCAACTCCCCCCTCCCAAAATTGGGAAGGGGAGGCAGTTCTAATATTTGTTTTAGCAAAGCGGATAGAGTATAGCATTTTTGGCTGGTCTCTTTTAGGGCAATGTCACTCAACTTGGGTGGACTTCAATTCCCAGAATTCCCCAGCCAGCTTTGCTGGCTGGGGAATTCTGGGAGTTGAAGTCCACCCATCTTCGACATCTCAACAATCAGAAAACGCAGCTCTCAACGAACGCTTTTTCTCGCCAAAAAAAAAGATGTTTTCCTTCTGTTGAAAATCGGCAGGAAACGGTGTGTTTCGCACTTGACGTTTAGATCCTCGGCCCTGCGGTTTCAAGATAGTTTGGGAGGCCCCCGAAAAGCAGTTTAGGAGCTACCGGCGGTTTGCGATCATGGGCTTGGTAGGAAGTTGTGTAGCTGCCAGTTTTGCAATCGGGGTGAATGCCAAGACATGGCCCCCCTACTCCGGCAGCCCCCTAACCGGCCAACTCTCCTGGTTAGGTAGCCCGACAAGCCCCCATTGAAATAATGGGTTGGGTATTTTGTTTCCTGGGGAGGTTAACCTGGTTAACAGCTGTTAATTTACCGACGTCCACCTGTGCCTCATTTATTATCCTTGCTAAGTTTCCAGCTGTTCCCACTGCTGGAAATATGATTCGGCTGGCCAGAGAGAGCTGATCTATCTCCCAGCAAAAGAAATTTACAAAAAGGCGGAAAGACACAAGGATTTAATTATAAGTGTGCATTTTGAGTTGTGCACAGGACGAAGAGGTTGTGATGAAAATATGTGTAGCCCAGAAGGAAATTTGGGGTTGGGGGGGGGGGGAGCGCAGAGTTAAATTTTGGGTGGAAAAGTAGAGTTAGGAATGGTTCAGACGGCGAGGATCTTAAGAGAATATTGTCACCGTTGATTTTTTGGGTGCGTGCAGGCATTCCTCGACTTACGACCAGCATTGAGTTCAAATTCTCCGTTGCTAAACGAGATAGCTGAGGAGTGAGTTTTTTTCCCCCTTTTACGACCTTCCTTGCCATCGTTGTTAAGCGAACCGCTGCATTTGTTCAGCTAGTGACACGGTTGTTAAGCGAATACGGATTTCCCCATGAACTTCGCTCGTCAGAAGGGTCGCAAAAGGGGATCACGGGACGCTGCGACTGTCATAAATACGAGTCAGTTGCCAAGTGTCTGAATTTTGATTGGGGGACGCTGCAACGGTCATAAGTGTGAAAAAACGGTCCTCGGCCACTTTTTTCAGTGGCGTTGTAAGTTCGAACGGTCACTAAACGAACGGTCGTAAATCGAGGACTTCTGTAAATGTTGTAAAAAAAATGGAAGAAATTGTGCTGGGAAGATTTTGTTGAAGCCGTTCTCCAGAGGCTGCCAGCTGTGGCAAGTGTTGTAATGGGTATTTGCAGTTGTGTTTATAAACTGAGATGACAGTTGCAAAGCCTACAAAATTAGGATTGTTATTATTTTATTTTTTTTTGTCTCCTAAAATTCAGATAGCAGTTTGATATTGGACTGAAATAGGACCCCTGAGTGTGTTATAAGTAGTCCTCGACTTACAACTGCAGCTGGAAGCCAAATTTGCATTGCTAAGCGAGACAGATGTTAAGTCACGCCGAATTTCACGGTTGCGCGAATATTGTCCCTCGTTTATGTCCGTTCCCTTTCCCTGGATGTTAAGTGAACCACATGGAGATTAAGCGGGTCTGGCTTCCCCATCGACTTTGCAGGTCGCAAAAGTTACGACAACCCCTCCCCCCCCCGGGACACTGCGACCGTCATAAATATGAGTCGGTTTTTGCCAGATCAGCTGGATTTAGACCACGTGACTCTGCGAATGTTGCAACGGTCGTAAATGCAAGCACCAGGAAGTCATAAGTCACTTTTTTTTTAAAGTGCTGGTTGTAACTTCGAACAGCCACCCAACGAGTGGTCGTAATTCGAGGACTACTGTACTTTCTCCTGATGGTGGATCTTGGTTAAGCCCAGGATCCCCAGACCAGATCTTGCAGCCTCTTTTACTCTCCAGAAGCCTCCAGAAGTTGTGGGTGCCCCATTCCTGGAGGTTTGCAAGAAGAGGTTGGACAGCCCGAGCAGAGAGGCTGGACTAGAAGATCTCCGAGGTCTCTTCCACTTCTCTTATGGTGTAAATTAATTAATTAATCCATCCATGGAAGGACTTGCCTCCAGAAGGTGTGGGTAGCTCTATCATTGGAGGTTTCCGAGAAGAAATTGGACATCCATTTTTTCGGAACGGTTTAGGGCCGTGATGGCGAACTATGGCACGCGTGCCACAGGTGGCACACATAGCTATATCAGTGGGCACGCCAGCTCAGCTCTGGCGCGCATGTGCGTGCCAGCCACCTGATTTTCAGGCCTTTTGGGACCACCAGAAGTAGGGAAACATGCTGTCTTCTGCCTCCGAAGGGCCTGGTGGTAGGTGGGGAAGGCTATTTTCGCCCTCCCCAGATGCACAGAGAGGATCTGGAGCCAGGTGACAAAAAAAAAACGGGCCAGGAGCAAGGGGGAGGGGAGGTTGGGCACACATGCACAGGGCGGGGTGCATAAAATTATGGGTGTGGGCACGTGCGTGCGCGAACCTCCCCCGTCCCCCTCCTTCCTGGCACGCGATGGCAAAAAGATTAGCCATCACTGGTTTAGGGTAAAAAGCATCCAACTTTGGCCCCTTTAAGACTTGTGGACTTCAACTCCCAGAATTCCCCAGCCTGTGGAATTCTGGGAGTTGAAGTCCACAAGTCTTAAAGGGGCCAAGGTTGGACAACCTCCACCGGCTGTGGAATTCTGGGAGTTGAAGTCCGCAAGTCTTCCAAGTTCCCAAAATTGGCCACGCCCTGGTCTAGGATCTCCCCCTCGGCCCAGTGGGGGGAGGTGGGGGCTGGACTAGAGGACCTCCAAGCTCCCTCTCCCAACTCTCTCTCCTTCTGTTATTTCAGATTGCCAGCTCTTGAGCGCCTCTCACCATGGCGTTTTCATCACGATTTGCCTTTTGGGAGCAGAAGGGAAGTCCCTCGGTTGTGTGCCTGCTAGTATTTCTCACTCCCCCCACCCCACTTATTCCCTTGCACGCTTTGACATGTTGCAGTGAACCTGGGGCCGGGGGTGGGGGGTGGGGGAGCATGCAGAAAAGGGGGAAGGGGCTTCTGGCCCATCGGCGGCATCGGGCGTGCCAGAGACCCTCCAGCTCTGGATTATTTCTGTCAACAACCACGGGGGTGTGTGTCTCTGATTGGCCTTGGATCAGTCCAGAGCCCCCTCCCCTCTCCAAACTCTGCTGGGCCAAGGGGCAGCCCTTCCCTCCAGGGCTTTTCCTAGCCCCCCCCCCCCAAAAAAAATCTGGGAGAATAATTTGCACGAGAATCTGCTCTCTGAATTCACTAACTGCACCTCGTTTGTGAATTATGGGGTTGTGTGCAAAGCATGGGGGGGCTGTGTGCCTGTTTTTTTTTTTTTTTTTGGGTGGGTGGGAGTTCCTTTGCGCGGGAACTTTGCACCGTTCGTCGCGTGGGTCCCCCACGGATGCTCTCAGGGTGGGCAACCTGGGGAGAGTGGTATTCAGCCACTTTTAGGAAAGGTGCTGGTAACCTTTGCAGGGGGCTCTTGAAAAATCACCCCCCGCCCCCACCAATAACACCCCCCCCTGAATTCCAGCTTTGGGGAGGCTCAGAGTGTGCTTTCGGCTTCTGTACCCGTTGGGGCATCATTTTGCTCCAGGGCATGGTAGACCTCGGTGTTATGGCATAAGGTCTCTTGCCTTGGGCAAGGGGGTGGATTAGATGACCTCCAAGGTCCCTTCAAGTCCCAGGTTTCGGTTTCTGTTCCTCTCCTCTCTCCTCCTCCTCCTCCCCCTTCCAACTTTTCCCCCTCCCCTATTTCTATTTCTATTTCTATTTCTATTTCTATTTCTATTTCTATTTCTATTCTATTCTATTCTATTCTATTCTATTCTATTCTATTCTATTCTATTCTATTCTATTCTATTCTTTATCTTAATTCTAATTCTATTCTGTTCTATTCTATTCTATTCCATTCCATTCCATTCCATTCCATTCCACTCCATTCTAATCTTTATTCTATTTTATTCTATTTTATTCTATTCTATTCTATTTCTAATCTATTCTATTCTATTCTAATCTATTCTTTATCTTAATTCTAATTCTAATTCTAATTCTATTCCATTCCATTCCATTCCACTCCACTCCACTCCATTCTATTCTTTATTCTATTTTATTCTATTCTATTTTATTCTATTCCATTCCATTCCATTCCATTCCATTCCATTCCATTCCATTCCATTCTATTCTATTCTATTCTATTCTATTCTATTCCATTCCACTCCACTCCACTCCACTCCACTCCACTCCACTCCATTCTTTATTCTATTCTATTCTATTCCTAATCTATGTTCTGTTCCATTCTGTTCTGCTGTCCTGTTCTACACTCTATTTTGTTCCATTCCGTTCCACTCCACTCCACCTCAGTCGTTAAACAAATCCATTGTGCCAAATGGGTGGTTTTTGTTGTTTTTTTTTGCCAGAAACTGGGAGTTAAGGGCCCTTAAATGCAGGCCAGTTGCTGAGTGCCAAAAAATGAGATCACACGGCCACTGAGGGGGGTCCGTAGTGGGTGTCAGATCTTCATATCCGGGTCATAGTAGGTCCATTTTGGGGGGACCCATCATAAATTGCAACGGCCACTCCAAGCAATCGGTCGTAAGTCAAGGACTGCTTTTAGCCAGGGCCCCTGTTGACCAAATGAGGCTCCTGCTTCTTGGAGCGTCTAATTGTTGTGTTGCAATACAACCCCACAAATTTTATTCACCATCCGGGTTTCAAATAACATGTTGTGGGTTCATCGCAGGGTGTGAATAAAGCTTCCCGCGGTTTGCTTTGATCACATCCTCTGCACAATTTCCCCGCGTAATTTTCTGCAAACTGCAAATTTGATAACGTTTAAACACAGCTGCAAAAAAATAAAATTAAATTAAAATCGGGAAGAGCCTGGTAACACCTTTTCGGCTCACACTTTTTATTCAAAAGCAGAAGCTTTTATGAGTGATCATCTCAGGAGCTACGGCCAGCCTCCCCCTCCTGGTGTAGGGTCTCCTGCTTGAGCTGGGGGTTGGACTAGATGACCTACAAGGTCCCTTCCGAATCTGTTAATCTTTGCAAAGCCATTAAGGCCCCTGGTTCCAAAAGAAAAATGAAGATGCAGGAAAATAGAACAGCAAAATAACATTCTAAACCCTTCTTCGGTCTAAATAAAAGCTTTAAATGAAATATTGGTCAGGAATGATACTAGCAAGCTCCAGTAATTTGCCTGCTGTGGGCTACAGGTATTCCTCAACTTACGGCCATAATCGAGCCCAACATTTCCGTTGCTAAGCGAGACAGTGGTGAAGTGAGCTTTGTCCCGTTTTACGACTTTCCTCGCCCCCGTTGTTAAGGGAATCCCTGCCGTTGTTGAGTTAGTCACACCGTTGTTAAGTGAATCCGGCTTCCCCCATGGGCTTTGCGTGTCAGAAGGTCGCAAAAGGGGATCCCGTGACCCTCCCAGGACGCTGCGACCGTCATAAATACGAGTCAGTGGCCGAGCGTCCGATTTTGGATCACGTCACCCTGGGGATGCTGCAACGGTCGTAAGTGTGAAAAAATAAGCCACCTTTTCCCAGTGCCATCGTAAACTCTGAACGGTCACTAAACGAACTGTTGTAAATCGAGGACTACCTGACTAGTGAACCACAATTACGGGCCAAATAGCTGAGTCAACCGGTATTGCCGGGTGAGATTTTCCTAGAAATCCAGCTGTGAATCCAGCTGTGGCTGGCTCAGTTTCCTCCCTGCTCAAATCTCCTGGCAGGCTTTCCTTGCATTGGGGACCCCAGGGGTGAGGTTGAAACCCTTCCTGCAAATTGGATCTGTCAGTGCTTGTCAAAGCAGGACCCCCTCCAGGTGGGCCATTATAGCCCCTTGTGTTAAGGAATATGCACAGAGTAACCCTTAAGTAGCAAGGTTGTGCACATGAGAAATGACTGAGAGTGATTGTGAATAAGCACTGTCAATACTGAGACAGTGAGTTGTGATAGTCTTTTACTTTTAGGAAAAAAGCAAAGCAAAGTCCAATAAACAATCCAGGTCATACACAGATAAAGATAGTTAAATTGTCAATCCAGGGATATTCCAAGAACAAAGTCTTCTTACCCATTGTTGTAGTCATATGCAATAAAACAGTTCTTTCTGGAGTTGCAAACAGGAACAAGTACAGTAGTAAAACAATCAGTAAAACAGTAGAAAAACAACAAGTAGCAATGATCAAGCAGTGATCATGCAGAGAGAACAGGCAGAGAGGAGGAGAGGTAGCAATAATAATGTAATAAGAACAATAAGCCATGATTCAAGCTTCCTCTTAAGCACGTTGGCTACAGAGCTAGCCAATCAGAATACAGTATGATGCAATACAGCCTTACAGCCTTAAAGCTATACATTACATTTTGACTGCAAACATGCATTGATGGTTTATATATATTGCCAACCCAACCAATTAGGCAATAGCCATTCCCTAACACCTCGCGTTCCTGGGAGACCCATGCTAAGCAGGGAACGCCCACGGAACGTACCAAGCGGTGTGCGCTCACACGTGTGTGCATGCAGCTCTGACACACTTCTGACGTGCCCACCGATCGAAACCTTGCCTCTTTCTCTCTCTCTCTCCCCCCCCCCCAGGTTAAGGATGAAGACAAAGTTTTAACCGTCAAAAAAAATGGGAACGAGGAAGGTCCCGTAAGTGAATCCGTGTTTGAGCGTGTCGTCAGCCCAGTTGAGGCTGACTTGTGGGTCACAATAAATTGGGGGGTGGGTGTTTCAGGTCAGGTGGGCCCTCCTGGCCTGATTGGCTATGCGGATTGAATCCTTCATTTCGCCAAGTGTGATCAGACCCACACGGAGTTTGTCTATAGTGCAGAAGCTGTCAGGGTACACGCAAAGCAACAGAATAATGATGATATTATAAATATTATCGACAATAATATAATGTAAACAATAATATAAATCTGTAACGCTGTCAAACATCCAGATTTGCCTTGGAAAGGACTCAATAAGTAGACAAAAACGCCAAATTCAGTCTTGAACATCTGGCTGACTCTGTGCCAGTCTGTGATATTTGTGACACATTTTTTAAATGATTTTTTTAAAAAATAATACTACAGCCATAGTACGTGGGTAGTACCATGTTTCCCCGAAAATAAGACCCTGTCTTATATTTGTTGAACCCCAAAATAAGAGCTTGGCCTTATTTTTGGGGAGGTCTTATTATTTTGGGGTGCATGCGCTCAAAAGCCCAATTGGGTTTATTATCAGGGGATGTTCTTATTTTGGGGAAACAGGGTATCTATCTATCTATCATCTATCTATCCATCAATCCATCTGTCATCTATCTGTCTATCTGTATGTCCATCCATCCATCATCTCTCTCTCTCATCTATCTATATCTATATAAACATCCATCCATCATCTATCTATCTATCTATCTATCTATCTATCTATCTACCGTGTTTCCCCGAAAATCAGACCCTGTCTTATATTTTTTTGAACCCTGAAATAAGCGCTTGGCCTTATTGCCATGCGCTCAAAAGCCCGATTGGGCTTATTATCAGGGGATGTTCTTATTTTGGGGGAAATAGGGTATCTATCTATCTATCATCTATCTATCCATCAATCCATCCATCTGTCATCTATCTGTCTCTCTGTATGTCCATCCATCCATCATCTCTCTCTCTCTCTATATATATATCTATATAAACATCCATCTATCTATCTATCTATCTATCTATCTATCTATCTATCTATCTATCTATCTATCTATCTATCTATCTATCTACCGTGTTTCCCTGAAAATAAGACTCTGTCTTATATTTTTTGAACCCCAAAATTGGCCTTATTTTTGGGGAGGTCTTATTATTTTAGGGTGCATGGAGGAAACCAGAGGAAATGGCGGGGACCAGCTGTGCATGCATTTAAATATTTTTCAGGGGGGGCTTATTTTAGTGCATGCGCTCAAAAGCCCAATTGGGCTTATTATCAGGGGAGGTCTTATTTTAGGGGAAACAGGGTAGTAAGTTTTAGGGTTTGGAATTGTGAGTAATTATTGTATTAGGGTTCAAGGAAACGTGGTGTGGTGGGGTGAGGAGGGAGGGGCGGGGGCCTGCCCATTATGGATGCAAGGTCATGATGGTCGTAAAACGGGACACGCGCATGACCGACCTGACTTTACGATCAGTTTGGTTCTTGGTTGTGGTTAAAACAACTGCTGTGGGCATTAACCACATCATTAAATGACCACTCCGGTGTTTTTTTGCTAAAAATCAGAAGTAAATGCCATTTTCCAGCAAAAATATCAAAAAAAAAAAACCTCAGTCACACGGTTGCATGTGACTGCAGTCGGCCATAAATGCAGACCGGTTGCCGAGTGGGTGGTCTTAGGCCATGTGCATCTCTTGCCTGAATTTTAGGAGGTCCTTGGGTGGGTGGGTGCTTTGGTGGGTGGGTGTTTTACCTACTTGTAACCCATTTATGTGGGGTTCTTGGTGCTCTCTTGAACTGGGTGGTTTCCTTGCAGACATTTCATGACCCAACTAGGTAACGTCATCAGTGCCACCACAGAAGGGAGAGAGGCTTTGCAGAGTGGAGAAGAAGGAGAAGAGAAGAGGAGGAGGCGGGGGAAGAGGGGGAAAAGGACTGTGGGGTCCTTGGGGCTCTCTGAGTTTGGTTGTTTCCTTGGAGACGTTTCATGACCCAACTAGGCAACATCATCAGTGCTACAAGGTGTGCGGTTTGTTTATATGTTTATAGCTTGCCCTGCCAGTGTTGATATGGGATATTATTTTCTTCTTGGTCGCTTCCTTAATTCTTCCTTAATTAGGCTGTTCGGGCCACTTGTAGAGAATCAGATAGCAAACCCCACTCCCTTCTGTTACTGATGACTTTACCTAGTTGGGTCATGAAACGTCTGCAAGAAAACTACCAAGTTCAGAGGGCACCAAGGATCCCCACAATCTTTTTCCTCCTCCTCTTCCTCTTTCCCTTTCCCTCTCTGTTGTGACCCAGGCCCCCAAGCAAGTAGTATTAGACGCAAACAGTTCCAAAACAAACAGACTTTATTAGAACAGCTGAGAATTAACTCATTCTCAGCCTAGTCCAAACTAAATTCAAGCAAATTCTTCAAAACACCATTCCTCAGTTTATCACCGACCTTGGGATAATTAGACAACCTGCCAAAGGCTTTTCTTGGCAAGAGTTCAGGAGCAGAAGATGCAGAAAAGAAATGAATACAGTGAAACAAGAAGCAATTCTCTCAAGGTTGTTTTCCGGCAAAGAGGCCAAGAGCCGTTGCTGGTTTGTTTTAAGCCTTATGGGAGGGCACAATCATCTCCTGGCCTTACTCCAGAGTCGTCCTCTTTGCTTTAGCTGCTCTTGCCTTCTGGCAGCTCTTCTCATGCATGCGCTAGGAACAGGCTCCTCCTGTTCCTCTGCCTCTCTGCTGTCAGCCTCTGGAGGCTCCGGAGGTAGCACATAACTCCCCGATGGCCCTGGCCCCATCTCTGCCTCCGACGCAGAGCCCTCATCTGAGCCTTCCCCAGCCTCCAGGACTGGCCCATGTTCCTCCCAGCCTCCTCGCTGTCCGACTCCACTGCCAGCTCCGCGGGCTGCTGGTGGACACAACACTCTCTCCTCCTCCTCCTCCTCTCTCCTCCTCCTCCTCCTCCTCCTCCTCCTCCTCCTCCTCCTCCTCCTCCTCCTCCTCCTCCTCCCTTCTTGCCCTGATGACGTTACCTAGTTGGGTCATGAAACATCTGGAAGGAAACCACCCAGTTCAGAGAGCACTAAGGACCCCACAGTCTTCCTCCTCCTCCTCCTCCTCCTCCACCATCATCTCCAGCCTTTCTCTTCCCTCGGTAACACCTTCTTGTGTCTGTGACTCCAGTCAGAACCCCCGATCGCAGAGAAGGAAGCGCCCCAGCACCGTCTCCAGAGCCCAGAGCCCCCCAAGCGTTCCGGCAAGGGGAAGAGCCCAGACCCACTGATCAACGGGGAGGCCCAGCCTTCCAGCCAAGCTGTGAATGGCCTGGAAGGGCCCCACGCAGAGACTCAGCCCGGGACCCCCGGCGAGGACGCCCACGGCCTCTCCCGAACCAAAGTGGCCAAGGCCATGCGCAGCCTGGTGCACAAAGTGCTTCCTGGGGAGGAGGCTGAAGCCGCCAAGGAGCCCCCCAAGGCCCCCAAGGGCCCCGAGCCGAGCAAAAAGAAGGAAAAGGCTGCCCCCAGGGTCCTCTCCCCGCCCGCCCGAATCCTGTCTCCCCCTCCTCGGCCCTCTACGCCCCTGAAGCCCCAGCCCAAGGAGAGCCCCGCTCTCAAGGATGACCTCTCCGTCGGGCTGAAAAGTCTCATGTCCCGGGCCAAGACCAGGGAACACCGGCCCCACTCCAGGCAGCGTGGGAAGAAAGAGGAGGCGCCGCCCCCCGAGAAGACTGAGAAGCCCCCACCCCTTCCGGAAGAGAAGCCCTCAGGGGCACAAAGCCCCCAAGAGGCCAAGCAACCCTCCGAAGACCTGGCAAAGCTGCCCAGTCAGGAAGCTGGTCCTGCCAGCCAGGTACCAGGGTGCATGGCATGGTTTTGGGGCTCATGAGCTTGGCTTGGGGGGCTCGGGGTGCAGCGAAACCCCCCCTCCCCTGGTCTCGGTTGGCATGTGATTTGTCCTTCCTTTAGGGCAGGTGTGGGAAGCCATCTATGGCAGGGGTCTCCATCCTTGGCAACTTGAAGACTTGTGGACTTCAACTCCCAGAATTCCTCAGCCAGCATGGCGGGTTCAGGAACTCTGGGAGTTGAAGTCCATGGTTGGCTGAGGAATTCTGGGAGTTGAAGTCCACAAGTCTTCAAGTTGCCAAGGATGGAGACCCCTGATCTATGGCACTTGGATGACTGGTGGACTTCAACTCCCAGAATTCCTCAGCCAACCATGGACTTCAACTCCCAGAGTTCCTGAATCCGCCATGCTGGCTCAGGAATTCTGGGAGTTGAAGTCCAAGGGCCATGGATCATGGGAGAGAGTTGATAGGTGCGGTGACACGTAGTTTCCGGGTGCATGCTGCGAATCTTGCTGTGCCAAAGCATTGTTGGGCATGCGCACCTCTCTTCCCCTGCACTTGGCCACATGCCAGTCGTTAGGCGAATCAGCGCGGTCGCGAAGTTAGCAAAACAGTCGTTAAGCGAATCTGGCGCCTCCGTTGACTTTACCTGTCACTGCAACGTGATCACATGACCCTGGGACACACCCCGCCACCGTCATAAACGTGAGTCAGTGCCCCAGTGTCCGAATTTTGATCACGGGACCGTGGGGATACAGCTACGCTACGGTCGTAAGTGCGAATATCGGTCCCAAGTCCCTTTTTTTTGTTGTTGTTATCACTTCGAACGGTCACTAAACGAACTGTTGTAAGTCGAGGACCAAGCTGTCGTTGGGGATCCCGGAATATTGGCACCGAAGGGCTTGCAAACTGTCTGCACCGCAATTTGGTGTTCCACGCGGCACGCGAAGCGAATGCGCACTGAGCTTTTCTGCGCAAGTGTTCACAACTGATGTGCACCTGTGTGTGTGTGTCTGCGCGCACATCTGCATGTAGGCCTGTGTCACCCTGGGGTCTGTGAGGCAGAGTCTGACGCCATCTCCTTGTTTTCCGTCAAGGCGTCTCCATCAAAGGAGACGTCCCAACCAGCCAAGCCGGAAGAGAAGCCGCCATCTTCCCTGACCCCTGGAGACGTGCCTCAGCAGGTGTGTTGCGGTGCAAAGCATGGTGTGCCAAGGCTTTTTGTGGGTCTTTTGTGCGCACCATCCTCGCAAGGGGGATTTAAGAGGGTGGGCGTGAGGTGTAATGAGTCTGAGGTTCAGAAGACGGGACCTTAAGGTTGTGTCGTGTGGTGGGAATGTGGAGGGCTGTGGAAGCCCCCCTCCTTGCTTCTCAGAGGCTGTTGGGGAGGGAGGCCCTGATCTCTGTCTCATGGTATTATTAGGGTAAATCCATGTTTTGCAACTTTAAGAGGGGAGGACTTCCACTCCCAGAATTCCCCAGCCTGCCATGCTTTAAGGGGGGTGGGCTTCCACTCCCAGAATTCCCCATTCAGCCATGCTTTAAGAGGGGTGGACTTCATCTCCCAGAATCCCCCAGCAAGCATGCTTTAAGAGGGTGGACTTCAATTCCCAGAAATCCCCAGCAAGCATGCTTTAAGAGGGGTGGGCTTCCACTCCCAGAATCCCCCAGCCAGCCTGCTTTAAGAGGGGTGGGCTTCCACTCCCAGAATCCCCCAGCCAGCCATGCTTTAAGAGGGGAGGACTTCCACTCCCAGGATTCCCCAGCCAGCCATGCTTTAAGAGGGGTGGGCTTCCACTCCCAGAATTCCCCAGCCAGCATGCTTTAAGAGGGGTGGGCTTCCACTCCCAGAATCCCCCAGCCAGCCTGCTTTAAGAGGGGAGGACTTCCACTCCCAGAATCCCCCAGCCAGCCATGCTTTAAGAGGGGAGGACTTCCACTCCCAGAATCCCCCAGCCAGCAATGCTTTAAGAGGGGTGGGCTTCCACTCCCAGAATCCCCCAGCCAGCCTGCTTTAAGAGGGGAGGGCTTCCACTCCCAGAATCCCCCAGCCAGCCATGCTTTAAGAGGGGAGGACTTCCACTCCCAGGATTCCCCAGCCAGCCATGCTTTAAGAGGGGTGGGCTTCCACTCCCAGAATTCCCCAGCCAGCATGCTTTAAGAGGGGTGGGCTTCCACTCCCAGAATCCCCCAGCCAGCCATGCTTTAAGAGGGGAGGACTTCCACTCCCAGAATCCCCCAGCCAGCCATGCTTTAAGAGGGGAGGACTTCCACTCCCAGAATCCCCCAGCCAGCAATGCTTTAAGAGGGGTGGGCTTCCACTCCCAGAATCCCCCAGCCAGCCTGCTTTAAGAGGGGTGGGCTTCCACTCCCAGAATCCCCCAGCCAGCCATTGGTATAACTGCTGCATCTGGAGCTCAGATCCCTCTAATTTTCTAGTTGCGTGGATTTTGCAATGCAACTGCTTTCCTTTGCTTCTCTCATGGAATTTTGTGTGGGTCTCATTGCACATCTTTTTCTGGGGTCCTTGGCTGTTTTCTTGCAGACGTTTCATGACCCACCTGGGTAACATCATCAGTGCTAGAAGAGGAGGAGTTTTGCTCTGTGTTGGTGGGATATCTCCTTGATTCGGCTGTTCTTTACCGTTTAACACCAGACAAACAACCAAACTATAAACAAGACCTCAGTCAAGGAACCACCAAGAAGAAGAAGAAAAAACACTCCTACCAATAAGTCACAAGTATATAAACAGAGCAAACCTCCCCTCCCTTGTAGCACTGATGACGTTACCTAGTTGGGTAATGAAATGTCTGGCAGAATATAAGCCAGCTCAGAGAGCACCAAGGACCCCACAGTCATTCACCTCCTCCTCCTCTTCTTCCTCCTCCTGTTCCTCCTCTCTTTCTCCTGTTCCTCTTCCTCCTCCTCTTCCTCTTCTTCCTCTTCCTCCTCCTCCTGTTCCGCCTCCTCCTCTTTTCTCTTCTTCCCTCCTCTTCCTCCTCTTCCTCCTTCTCCTCTTCTCCTCCTCTTCTCCTCCTCTCCTCCTCCTTCTTTCTCCTCCTCCTCCTCCTCCTCTTCTCCTCTTCCTCCTCTTCCTCCTCCTCCTCCTCCTCTCCTCCTCCTCCTCCTCCTCCCCTCCTCCTCCTCCTCCTCCTCCTCCTCCTGTTCCGCCTCCTCCTCCTCTTTCTCTTCTTCCTCCTCCTCCTCCTCTTCTCCTCCTCCTCCTCCTCCCTGTGTCTTTTTACTCACACCATAAAAGGCTGGGACGAGCTAGTTGGTCTCTGCAGCTGCTGGCAGAAGCTGCCCCTTTGGGTCTCTCTGCTCTCCCCCTTGGCCTGCTCTCCTGGCAGAGTTCCCAGAGGGCAGACCCTTCCTTCCTGCCAGCTTCCCCTGACCCTCTGCTCACCTTTCTCTCTTCTCTCCTCTCCCCTTGCTGCCTCAGCCGGAGCCTGTGACCGCCGTGGCTGCCCCCGGCCAG